GCCCGGGGCGGGTGCTGCTGCAGCGCTGCCCTACAGCCAGGGCAGATCCCACTGCTGGGGCTGTTTTGGCTGAAAGGCCTCACGATTACGTTTCAAAACCGCTGCCCGGCTGTTGGTGCACAACAAGCTCAAGGCTCATCCCCATCCCGCCCCGCCTCGCCCTGCGCGGGGCTCTGCTGACCTGGCCAGACAAGTCACAGTCCGCGTCGAGGGGCACGTACTCCTCGTCCCTGCTGAACATCCCCAGGCCAACCTTCAGGGGCTTTTTGTCCAGGCTCACCTTGAACTTCAGTTTAGCCAGACTGTCGAACAGCTTCGGCAGATGACGGGACACCTGGGAGCAGAGGCGGGCGGGGCTCAGGGACCTCCCGCGAGGTGTAACCACCGCTTGGGTGAACCCCGCACGGCCCTCAGGGCTGCGTCCCCGAGATGGGGGGTACCCGTGATGGTGTTCCGCTCCTTAGAATGAAAAATATTTAAAAACTGCTACAAGGAATCCGCGTGCAAGAGACATGGGACTTGCCTCCACGCTTTACACACAACCCTCACCTCAGCTGGTTCATTCCCCTTAGATAAAATATCAAGCAGGTCTGCAGAGGAAACAAAGTAGAATCTGGGAAAAGCCAGTCTTTTGGTCTCCAGGTATTCAGCCAAAGCCTTCTCACAGAGTGCCAGTCTAGCAGAAAACAAGGGGAAAAAACCCTGCAGTTAGCTTTTACTCTTTGCTAAGTCCTCGTAACACTGAGACAGACGCTGCTTTGGAGAAAACAAACTCTGCCTTTGGCCCTCGACCAGCTGGCGGAGGCCTCGCCAGGACCCAAACCTCACCTCGTCTGCAGCGCTTCCAGCTCGCCATAGAGTCCAGGCTTGTTTGTAGCTTCAATCACGTTGGGAGTTTTCACTGCCTCAGCCATTAATTTCTGCAAGAGGTAAAATGCTTCAGCTCTCCCCGAGCCGTCAGCAAGCTCTCAGGGGCCCAGGGAGGGGACGGGCTTCGCACTTTGAAATCTTCATCGACAGCATCGAAGCGCTTCGAGTCCGCCGGCAGCTGACTGCGGATGTCCTCGGAGCCGATGAAGATGCTTTCCAGGTGACTCCATGTCCTCTGCACCTCAAACAAGAGGCTGATAACGGAGTCGGTGGTTGACAGCTTCTGCTGCCAGCTGGACACCTCCTGAAGGAAGAAGGTGAGGTACTTGGATGTCATCAGGTTCTGCAGCTGCACTTGGTTGTCCTCCAGCGTCTCGACGAGCAGCTCATCCGACTTGAGCAGCGCGATGCCGGTCCTGGTGTGGGGCTCGTGCTCGAACTGCATCGTCGCCCAGGTAGTGTCCAGGGTGCTCAGCACCTACAGACGGGGCGTGAGGAACAAGCTGGGCTGTGGTGCTGAGTCCCAGACCCTGCAGAAGGGCGGGGAGCGACGGGAAATCCCCCTCCGGGGCACGAGGGGCGTGTGGCCCCCAGGAGCAGGAACACGCGGAGCTGCGTCGGTGCAGGGCTCAGCAAAGCGGGGCGCAGCCGAGCCCCACTTACCTTCTCCATCCCTGACTCCTTCGTGGCTCTGTCCACGATGCCACAAACCTCATCTTCGAACTCGTGCAGGTTCAGCTGCAGCAGATCAGCGAGGGTCGTGTCCTTGGACATGGCGAAGTTCACCTGCAGCAGAACTGGCCCCGTCAGGGCACGGACTCCCCCCCAGCAACTTTCCCAAATGAGCTCAGTAACACCCATTAAGGACCCTACACAAATATTTGTGCCTGTTTTAAGACACATTCTGTGCTTCCCCTGATGGATTCAGCTCTCAGGAGCCTCCGGGCCGGGGGCTGGGGCCAGGGAGGGGCAGGAGGGCTGGGAGCACCTTGGTTGTCCGCATGAGCTCCTGCCAGTGCCGCTCCCTGATGGCCGGGTTCTGCAGCTCCTTCACGGCGCGCAGAGACCTCATCATGTTCTTCACGCTGTCGTCCAGCCCTGCGAACGCATCCCAGCCTCTCATCTCCTTATCCAAGCTCCGAATGTCTTTAGCAAATTTCTTACAATCGGCATCCAGCTGCTCGACATCGATGTCCTTCCACCGGGTGGTCTTCCAGGCGTCGATGTTCGTGTTAACCTGGATTGGGGAACGCGTTGTCACCGGGCCCGTAAGCAGCAGCAGCATTCCCGCCCGGGGAGCAAAGCAACGCGCCCAGCGCCCGCACGCCCTTGGCGGAGCTACAGCAACCGTGTGCCTCTGGCTGGTGACGCTGAGCTGCTCCGCTCTCGAGCCCCTGCCTGGAGGCAGCGTTGGGCATCGGCCCCGGCGCAGGGCCAGCACCGAGCCCAGGGCTCCTGGTCACTGCGCTCAAGGCAGATGGCTACTGGTAGCCACCCTCTGTGGACACGGGGCAGCTCATCAAGGCCTCAGGAGCTTCAGAGCTGTGAGGACCCGCCCAGCGCTCTCAGAAGCCTGTCCTGCACCCCCACGCTCCTGCCTCGTGCTGGCTCACAGCCCACGGCGCGTACCAGGACGATCGTGTCCCAGAGCTCCTTCAGCAAGTGCAGCTCCCTCTGGCACGCTTGGAGCTGTTTGTATTCCGGGACCGACACTTCGAACAGCCCGGCCGACCGGGACAGGGCTGCCAGGTCGCTCTCCATGGCCG